CTGTTGTGTAATTGTTGATAGTTTTTATGAAACCCACTACCTCAAATTAACTAATTTGGTATTTAAATTATAGTGCTACTTGAGAACAAGTAACCTTTAAGTTTGGGGGATTTTGATGTGTAGAAAAGAATGCTTAAATTCTTTTAAGTTTAGCACATTTTATGAATGAAATTACACTTTAAAGGAAGGCATTTTCATGTTTTTATTACAGGTAAAACATGTGTTAGAAGTGGAGCAATGTGAATGAGACTTGGAGCAAAAGGAGCATAAGGATACTAACACCTAGGCGTTAGACCCCTGGGCACCTAGGCACTAGTCTCAACCTGGCAACCCGAGAGGTTGACGCATAATACTGAGGTCTAGGTGCCACACCCTTGGGCACCAAGGAGACCATGTTATTTCCTGCAAACAAAGAGACTTGTACCTAGCTTTAGTAGCTGCCTTAAGCATTTTTTAGCAGTTCAATCGTCTGTCTTGGAGAGTTGCTAGGAGGTCGTCAAGTGGTTTCTTTTGCTAAGAAGATAGATTATAAATGCGCATGTATTAAGGACTTATAAAGGCTAATGATTGATTGATGAAAATTAGTTTTACAATGAGTATTTTTGGGAGATTTGAATGGTAATGTAAGGAAAAGGTTGTGTGCGTTGTAGAGTTTTTTTCCTTCTTCTTCTTCTTAAGTGGAGGGGAAAGACTTTAGGAACAACAACAGTGGAAGCATTTAGTGGAGCATCTTCAGTTGTGAAGAAGAGGAATATAAGTGATTATGTATTTCATTTGTTGTAATTCTTTAAACACATCATTTTATGGAATTCTCATGTTTTCAAATGGAGCTTTGTGGTATGCTCTTCATGCTTTCTGAGTAATACTCTTTATCTTACCTTGTGATGATTGAGTAGGATGTGCTGGAGTGTAAAATATTTTCAAAATTATTTTCTTTATTACTTAATTTTATGATTAACATTCAGATCTTCATTTATTTTTTTTATTATAGCCAAGTGAAATGTTAAAATGTGTTCTGAATTATCATGACTCGGGAGAGCTATGTAGAATCAACTAGGTTTGTCACATTGAACTGTGGAGTATAGGTGGATATGCTTTGTAGGGAGATTCAAATATTAGGAAAATATATTTTGATGGGTTCAAAACAGAATTTATGAAATTAAAGTCATTTTAACCAATCTTCTTTATGCACTTTAGAAAGGTTAAAGAAGAGAGTTACTTCAATTTTTCGCTAGTTAAATTTACAATTAACACTTTACATTTCATATACTCCACTTAAATCATTACAAGGGAAGTAACCTTAGAACATGATATTCATTAATCTCATAACTACGTTAAGAAGGATTTCTGCAGGATTTAAACTTTAGAATTTGTTTTTGATATGGCAGGAGTAGTGTGTGGAACATTAACCTAATCTAAATTACAGGCTAGGAAAAAAGTAAGTAGGCTAAATCCTTTCTTAATTCTGATTCCCTCGTTCCCTTTGGAATCAACATTCTGGACTCAATATCTGATATTAATGATACAACACATACACTTGCATGAGCCCTCATAGTGTGAGTGCATCTGGAAGCGATATCATATTTTAATTTGTATCTTGTTTTTGGTCAAGGAATTGTAGTGATCTTGGTGAAGCTTAAATTGGTCATACTACTATTTTTAATGAATAATAATAAGTTAATAACCATATAAACATAATTATTCCATTATGAATTTAAACATATAAACATGAATGTGCTTATCAAATTATGTGTGGAGGGCAATAGGATCGAAAATCGTTTGATACAGCTGTCATTAGATCAACAAAAAAATTAAGAATTTGGTTTGGATTCCTAAAGCACGGCTCAACTCCCAGATACTACACAATCAAGTCTTTTGTTCATCGTCTTTCCCCCCTTCTAATTCAAGAGACTATTGAAATTTGTAAGTAAGGCTTAATCCAAGAGAAAAAAAAATAAGGAAGAAGAATAACCTTTGGCTATAATCAATGAGGACGGTGGCAAGTACGACAAAGTGATAGGCGACGTTAGGTGAGCGATGAGGCAACAGATTTCCTGTGCAATGAGCTACAAAGGAAGATACACCTTATTGTTGGATTTAGTAAATCCAAATTTACATTATGATAAATTTTTTTTTTATTTATGCAGACAAAAATATTTAGCAAAGCCGAAAATGTGTTTTTGGTGGATTTATGTAAATATTCACACATAAATTCTTGTTGAAATAGGCTACCAAATAATGCATAGGTGTGATTTTTGTGATTTAAGTTGGTGAATTTTAGACTCATTTTGGGGTTTCATATTTGATTCATTATTTCTTTTAGTTCCTAGTTTATCGGTCATTGTGATAATCAGAGTAATCTAGGTTTGAAGCTTTTCATTTGGTTTCCTGATCTATGTTGGTGTCCTCCATTCCTTTCTGTTCTTAAGTTCAATTTCTAATGTTAGTGTAAATTTTACATTGAAGTTCACATGGCACTTGCAAGTTTATGTGATTTAAGGTTAAAGTGTCATTCAAAAGTAAAAAATTTCAAGTGTTTCAAGAGTTTTAAATGGTTTTAAGGGTTTGGATTTAAAAGTTATTTTAGCTTTTAAATCTCTTAAGTTATTTTCTTTGGTTTTAAGTGTTTTGGCATTCAACTTTAATGTTTTAATATTTTATGTCATCTTAATTGATTTAAAATTATTTTAGTATCTGAAATTTAAATGTTTAATTTATTTCATTTGAGCTAAAGTGTGTTGATTTTTTTCATCTGGTTTAAGTGTTTTAGTTATTTTCATTTTGTTTAAGTTTTTAAATACTTTAAATTATTTTATTTGATTTTAAAATATTTTAAAAAGGTTTTATTTTTCTTTTTTTTAGCATTTAAAATATTTTACATTAATAAAAAGTTTTAAACTATATTATTTAGGTTTTATGATTATATAGAATCATTTAAAAAAAGGTTTTAATTTATATTATTTAAGATTTAAATTTTATTTTAAATTTTTTAAGAAAAAATTTAATTATTTTATTTATTTTTTATAATTATTTCATTAGGTTTCCAAGTTATTTTAAATTTTTTTAAAAAGGTTCTCAATTATTTCGTATAAGTTAAAAAATTATTTTTAAAAAATTAAGGTTTTAAATTATTTTATTTTGTTTTTAAAATTAGTTTAAAATATTTTAAAAAGGTTTTAAATTATGTGATTTAAGTTTTAAAATTATTTTTAAAAGATTTGAAAGTATTTAACATAAGTTTTAAATTGTTTTGAATTAATTAAAAAAGGTTTTCTTATTTTATTTAACTTTTAAATTAATTTATTAAGTTCTAAATTTATTTTATTTATTTTTTTTTTTTTGGATTGATTCTAAATCGCTTAAAAATTATTTTAAAAGTTACTTTAATATTTTAAAGTTTATTTAAAAGGTTTTAAATTATTTTAAAAATCATTTTTTCATGATTGTTTTTAATGTACTTAGATTGTCTTATTTGGTTTTTAATTTACTCAAAATGTTTTAAATTATTTTGAAAGTTAATTTCTTAGAAAAAATCATTTTTCATTTTCAAGTTTTTTTATTTAATTTAAATTGTTTTAAGTTTTCTTAATTTTATTTTATTTTAAAAGTTTTTTTAGTTTTAAAATTTTATAACGAAAATCATTTTTTTTTATTTTTAATTTCATTTAAAAGGCTTTAAATTGTTTTAACCGCGTGGGCTCGCAGGTGACATATTTTTTGTCATTTATTTATAGACAAAAATGCATGGGAAAATTTTCCATAAAGTAAACGGCACATGAATATATACCAAGCATGAGGAAAATTTCTATAAAGTAAACTACAAATGAATTTATACCAAGCATGATGAAAATTTCCATTAAGTAAACTACACATGAATAGATACCACTGGAGAGGCCTTGGCATACCCACACAATTACTAGTGTTGTTACACTCGGGTTGGCGTAGCCACACCAGATGGTAATGTGATCACGCCACCTAGGCTAGGGTCTAGGGAGTTTTTGTCTCATTTCAAACTTAGAAACTTTGTCAATATAAAATTTCTTCTCATGAGAAGAAGTGTGACTATTTTCGTAAGTAGTTGACCAAAAATGACACCAACAACAATTGATCAACTGCTTATTTTAAAAACAACTTATCAACTACTTATTTAATAAGGAGCAACTGTCTCAAATAGATCCTAATCATATCTAGGATCGTAACTGGCTACCTTCCATAGTTGACAAAGCTTTCTAGTTATTTTATTTACAAAATTAATTGAATTTAGAAAGAAAGATACATATTAAATGTTATATATGTTTTTACCCTCTAAATTTATTCAAATTTTCTGCTATTTTTTATCATCTTCTTTTGCTTCTATTATGGTTTTTTTTTTTTTCTTTAATTGAAATATTCATGCAGAAATAGCATGGGTTAAATCTCTCCTTCATAAAAGCCATATTCCTGCCACTCTGTAAGAAAGGAAAACGACGAAGAGAAAATATTTATATTATTTTTATGGTTACTCCTCTCTCTAAAGCGACATCCGGCTTCATTTTATTTTATTTTCTTATTTAATATTTTCCTTTTTTGTAAATATTTTTATATGAAATAAAATATATTATATTTAATATGTTAATATATTTAATTATTTTTAAAAATTCTATTTTTAAAAATAAGAGTTTATTGTTAAAAGTAAAAAAATAAAAACATAAAAATACACTAAATGCTTTAAAAGAAAAACAAAAACAAAAAATAGAAGTGATCCAGACAGGCCCAAAGTAACTTCTTTTTTGCATTTTCTTGATTACAGAATTGATGTATTTTTATTATAATGTTCAAGATTTTTCCAAAACTAGAGAACTTAGAGAACTCTCATAAGCCATATAATTTTTGTGTGTCAAATGGTTGCCTAATTCAATATTTCTATAAAAATAAATCAAGATCTTATAAGAACAAAAAACAATGAAAAATAAATTGGAATCAAACAAATAAAAAAAAAAATCTTTAAAACTCATTTTAACAAAAACTCTAAATTCAACCCCAACATCATCAAAGTTTGACATGGATTGATTCTTAAATTAATCCCACGACCACTGGTGATGCAATGAAGTAACATTGAAGCATTAAAATCAAGAAATAAAACCATTATAATTCCATAATTCAGAGCTCAATTGACTCGTCAAATGGTAAGTGAATGAAAGCCTCAGATTAAAGCACGCTCCATCTTTAAAACTGAAGCAATCATTTTTACCTCAACTAGTCTTCACTCTGAATAATTGGCAGGTTGCCTCCACATGCTCTTTCCATGTTACATGACTCTGGATTCTTTGTAGGTATAAGAGATGACTTGTGGAGAAGGTTGAACTCCTTGCTACCTTCGCCATACTTGCCTATGCATATGGTGTCGCAGCGACCATGCCAGATGCCATCTTGGACATTGTTCATCTCCAATGTTCTCGATTCCTGCTCGAGCAAATCAACCTTCTTGTTAGACTCAAAAATCGGGTTGTTCAATCATGTTTGACTCGATAGCATCTTCATTATATATATATATATTTGGATAGATAGACAGACAGACAGACAGATAGACAGTTGTGTGCATGATTGAATTTATATGCAGAAGATTTACATACATGCTACACAATTCATATGTAATTACATATCTAACTTTCAAGTTTCAATTTTTCCATATATATGCCACCTTACCTGTACATAAAAATGTGTATTTCACTTTTAAAAATTTAGAAGTGTTTAATTTGATGTGATATGAATGATTTGAGTGCTATAAATCTTTAAGTCAAAATTTAGGTGGTAGACATATAAATACATAGGAATTATGTGGTATGTATCTAAATGTTGTTGTGGGTCCCTCCCACAAGAGCAGGAATTAATAAGTCTCACTCAGGGCTACTAAACTTTAAATAACAACATCCATCTGTAAAGAAGTGTTGAGAAATCAGGGCGAAGAAAAATAAGAATCGACACAAATCCAGAAAAACACGCAGAGATTTACGAGATTCGGCAAATATGTCTACATCCTCGGGAGCAGAGCGGCGACCACCTTTTTCAATATTCAGAAAAGAGTACAAAATACAAAATTCAGCTTGCTTTGGGTTACAAACAGAACATATATATAACTCTATTGTGCAATATGTGATTACTTAAATTACCCCTGTACCAAATCGCGAGGTGTTGCCCCCACACCTCCAACCCACGTAATGAACTCCCTTGATTGGACAGATCATTCTGCTCCACTCCGCTCGTGGGCTCTGCTCCAGCATCTGTCCAATTTATAGTATATGAGTCATACCTAACAAATCTCCAACTTAGCGAATATCCAGCATCTGTCCAATTTATAGTATATGAGTCATACCTAACAAATCTCCAACTTAGCGAATATCCAGCCTTTTTAGGAGAAATGCATATACTCAACAAATCTCCAACTTAGCGAATATCCAACTCCTTAGGAGAAATATATCATGGAGTTTCTTATGCACCAATGTGGGTTGGGTCACCGTGCTTACGCTGCGCCCTCACTGATCCCCCCAACCCACTAAATTCCCAACCCACTAAATTCCAAGAGACAAGACAACTCTTCAATTTCAAGAGACATCTCTTCATTCCAAGAGACTCCAAATTCTAGTTTTATGAGTCATACCTAACAAATCTCCACCTTGGCGAATATCCAGTCCCTTTAGAAGAAATGCATATACCCAAAAAATCTCCACCTTGGCGAATATTCAGCCCTTAAGAGAAATATATCATGGCGTTTCTTCTGCATCAATGTGGGTCGGGCCCTTTTAAATAATCCATTAATTAAGATTCCTTAATTAATTTTCCAAGAAAATGAAATTTCCCTTAATTAAGTTTCCAAGAAAAATGGTTTTCTAAATCCTTTTTTTTAACTTTCAAGAAGAGCTCGCCTCCGTTTCCAGAAAAGCTGTTTTCCTTCTCAGAAAAGCTCCGCCTTCCAGAAAAGCTCCTGCAATTCTGGAACCGGCGCCTGGAATATCACAAAAGAGCGAATACCAATTTCCTTCCAATCGGGCAGCCTCGAACTTTCCTTTCCGAGTGCAGCATCGTGTGCAGCAAAATTTTCTTAGTTAATAGGAGGGAATTTCCTTTATTACTTCTAGAGAAAGCTGAAAAATATCCCTTCCAAATTTCTTTTCCTCAGCAAAGGAATAAAAACAAAACTTATTTCTTTCCAATTTTCTTCTCCTCCTCCCGCAAAGGAATAAACTTAGAACTTGATTTCTCTTCCAATTTTCTTCTCCGCAATAAAATCGGAACTTGATTTCCTTCAAATTTTCTTCCGCCTCCAGCAAAAGAATGAAATCGGAGCTTCCAATTTTCGCCTCCGCTCCAGGCTGACGTCGAACCTTCCTTTTCAGATTGCCTAACCAAACTCCTTCCCACAGCTCGTCTATCTTGGTTGCGAAGAGGAACCGTACGGTTGGGGGTCCGAACTCCTCGGTCGCGAACTTCTATAGTGGAGCGCCTGTCGCTAACCCGCGAACTCGCGAATCCCTGGTGTCGCAGGCGGAAAAAGCACTCCCCAAAATTCGCACTATTCTGCCGCAAAGCCTCCTTGCAATCCAACAATCCAAGCTGCCCAAAAATTCTTATGGTCGTGAATATAGCTGTGAAAACCTGCTTCGCTGAAAACGCCGAAGCGCGAAGTGCAGCAGACCTCCTTTGGAAAACTTCCACAATTCGTGTCTTCAAACTTTCTCCGCGCCGAAATCTGGGAACCTCGCCGAAATCCTTCCCTAGCCGCCGAAATCCTTCCCTAGTCGCCAATCTCCTCTATCAAAATCTTTTTTATTCCTACGCCGCCCAAATTTTTCTGCTCTGCCCTCAAACCTTGCTCTGATACCAGATACCACTTGTTGAGAAAATGTTGAGAAAATAGGGCGAAGAAAAATAGAATCGACACAAATTCAGAAGAACACGCAGAGATTTACGAGATTTGGCAAATATGCTTACATCATCGGGAGCAAAGCGGCAACCTCCTTTTCAATATTCAGAAAAGAGTACAAAATACAAGATTCAGCTCACCTAGGGTTACAAACATGGCATATATATAACCCTATAGTACAATATGTGATTACTTAAATTACCATGTACCAAACTATGGGATGTTGCCTCCACACCCACAACCCACATAATGAAATTCCCCCGATTGGACAGATCCTTGGGCTCCACTCCAATCGTGGGCTCCGCTTCGCTCCACTCCCCTCGTGGGCTCTGCTTCGCTCCAGCATCTGTCCCATTATATATATATTATGTTTGCTTTCTCATTTTTTTTGTATGACAGTTGATAAGAAGATAAATAACTTATGTATTCAAGAAACACTGGGTCCCAAACCTCATATACGAAAAACAGAGTGAGTTAGGAAGTAGACAACGAGGATAAAATTTATCGAAAAATCATGACATAAATTTTTTAAATCCTTGTGTAAATGTTGAGATGTACCCTGCAAACGACGCGTTGTATGATCTAAATACAGTGAAAAGGGTGCAAGGACTACTACATCGTCCCGGGTGTGGTAGTGTCAAATAAGCAAGGGTTCTCATCTTACAGCAGATGCGGGTATAAAAGTTAGTCAATGAAACTAATATTAGGATAAGATCTTGGAATATAGGGATTCTTATAAATAAATTAATCGAATTAGTTGATAATATGATTCATAGGAAAATAAATATATCATGCATTCAAGAAACTAAATGGGTTGGAGAAAAGGCTAAGGAGTTTGTAGCTTAAGTTTTAATCTTTGGTTTTCATGTAAGAGTCGCACTAGAAATGGAGTAATTATAGATAAAAGTTTAAAAGATGATGTTGTAAAAATTAATAGAATTAGAGATAAAATTATAGTCATAAAGATTATTGTCGCAGGTTCCAAAAAAAAATCCTGGAATAAACTAGAATGATTAATACAAATGACACTTTTTAAAGAAAGAATTATATTGGAAGGGATTTAAATGGAGATATTGACAGAGTGTTGGTAGATTTTAGTAAATTCATGGTGGATGCGGTTTTGGAATGATTAATGAAAAGGTATAACCCTATAAAATTTTGCTATAGCGTATAATTTTATTATTGCTAATATTTTATTTAAAAAGATAGATGAACATATTATTACTTATAAAATGGACCTAATAAAACATAAACTGATTTTCTTATGAGAAAAAGAGATTGTTGAGAGTATAAAAATTGTAAGAAATTCCAAGTGAAAATTTAAGCACTAAACATTGATTATTAATTTTGGATTTTGATAAGAGTTGTAAGATAAAAAATACAAGAAAATATTGTCATGGAAATAGATAGGGACACTTAAAAAACAAATAAAAATAATTTATGAGTAAATGCTTTAAGCCCATACCATTTTAGTAGATGTCAAATAAAAAATACTATAGAGAGTTTTAGATAGGAAAGGTGTTGATATGACTTATATTCAAGTCATTAAAGATATGTATACGAGAGTTGTTAGTTGCGTTCGAACATTGGGATTGACCAAGTATTTTCCTATTTCACTTATACTACATCAAATAAATGCTTTAAGCCCATATCTTTTTGCTTTAGTTATGGATGCTCTTACTGGACATTTATAGGAGGATGTACTTTGGTGTATGTTTTTTTATGATGATATACTTCTTATGGATATAATTAAAGATTTGAGTTCAGAAAAAACTAGAATTATGGAGGTCTGCATTGGAGTCTAAAGGTCTTTGTCTAAGTAGATCTAAAATCAAATACATAAAATATAATTTAGTAGTAGCTTTAGTGGAAAAGTTGTAATTATGGATGATCAAATCATTAAAAAGTGTGATCAATTTTAGATATCTCGGGTGTATAGCTCAAAGTGATGGTGATATAAATGGAGATATTTTTAGTAGAACTCAAGTTGGTTGTTTAAAGTGCAGAAATGCATCGAGCCTATTGTATGATAGAGAAGTACTGCTTAGGCTGCAAGGACAATTTTATAGGATGGTAGTGAGACATGCAATGCTCAATGTCGCACAATGTTGGTCTTTAAAAGAGAAGCATAAGACAAAGTTAAGTGTTGCTGAGATGTGAATGCTTAGGTGGATGAGTGGCTTGACACTTAGACAATATGAGAAACAAATACATCAGTGATATGGTTGGTGTAGCTCCAATGGCAGAGAAGATTAGAGAAAAGCATCTTAAATGATTTGGTCACATTAAATGTCGACAATCTGATGATCATGTTAGAAGAGTAGATGTTTTAGATTCAGCTTATGTTAAGAAAGGCAAAGGTAGACCTACAAAAACTTGGATATATTGCATAAAAATTAATCTATTAGAATTAAATGAAAATATGAAGCTTTTAATAAAATGTAATGAAGGATTCATGTAGTCGACCACACTTAGCGAGATAAAGGCTTGTTATTATTATTTTTGTTCTCTCGTTTTTTTCTAAAACCAGACATCCCTCCTT